TGATGGGGCACTATTCCTACCATTGACACCAATGATGGGGCACTATTCCTCCCACTGATACCAATGATGGGGCACTATTCCTCCCACTGACATCAGTGATGGGACACTATTCCTCCCACTGACACCAATGACGTGGCACTACTCCTCCCACTGCAAAATTACAGTTATGAAGTAGCAATAAAAATAATTTTATGGTTGGGGGTCACCACAACATGAGGAACTGTATTAAGGGGTCGCGGCATTAGAAAGGTTGAGAACCACTGTTTTAATTGCACATAACATGTAAACATTCACAGTGCAGGGAGGAAAAAGTATGTGAGGCCCTAGCTTAATGACTTCTACCAGAGCTAATTGGAGCCAGGAGTGAGCCAACCTTGACTCCAATCAGTGTGATGATATTGGATGTGTTGCTGACAGCTGTCCTGCCCTTAAAAAACACACACCTGTTTTGGGTTTACTGGTTTCAAGAAGCACTGTCTGATGTGAACCATGCCTCGCAGAAAAAGAGCTCTCAGAAGACCTACGATCAAGAACTGTTGACTTGCATGAAGCTGGAAAGGGTTACAAAAGTATCTTCAAAAGCCTTGATGTTCATGTGTCCACGGTAAGACAGACTGTCTACAAATGGAGAAAGTTTAGCACTGGTGCTACTCTCCCTAGGCGTGGTCGTCCTGTAAAAATGACTGCAAGAGCACAGCACAGAATGCTGCATGAGGTAAAGAAGAATCCCAGAGTGTCAGCTAAAGACCTACAGAAATCTCTGGCACATGCTAACATTTTTGTTGACACATCTACAATAAGGAAAACATTAAACAAGAATGGAGTACATGGGAGGATACCACGGAGGAAGCCATTGCTGTCCAAAAAGAATATTGCAGCACGTTTGAAGTTTGCAAAAGAGCACCTGAATGTTCCACAGCACTACTGGCAAAATATACTGTGGACAGATGAAACCAAGATTGAGTTGTTTGGGAAGAACACACAACACTATGTGTGGAGAAAAAAAGGCACAGCACACCAACATCAAAACCTCATCCCCACTGTAAAACATGGCGGAGGGAGCATCATGGTTTGGGGCTGCTTTGCAGATTGTTGTCAATGATGGGAAAATGAATTGCAGAGTTTATCAAGACATTTTGCAGGAAAACGTACGACCATCTGTCCGCCAACTGAAGCTCCGCAGAGGATGGGTGATGCAACAGGACAATGACCCAAAGCATACAAGTAATTCAACAAAACAATGGCTGCAACAGCACAGAATACGCCTTCTGGAGTGGCCCAGTCAGAGTCCTGACCTTAACCCAATTGAAATGCTGTGGCATGACCTTAAGAGAGCGATTCACACCAGACATCCCAAGAATATTGCTACACTGAAACAGTTTTGTGAAGAGGAGTGGTCCAAAATGACTCCAGATCGTTGTGCAGGTCTGATCTGCAACTACAGGAAACGTTTGGTTGAGGTTATTGCTGCCAAAGGAGGATCAACCAGTTATTAAGTCCAAAGGTTCACATACTTTTTCCTCCCAGCACTGTGAATGTTTACATGTTATTTGCAATGAAACCATGGCAACATCTAATGTTTGTGTAGTATTATGTTCAGCAGACTGTGTTCTTCTATTGTTGTGACTTAGATGACGTTCAGAGCACATTTTATGCCCAATTCATGCAAAACTCCACGTAATCCCAAGGGGTTCACATACTTTTTCTTACAACTGTACACATTCACTTGAATATTTGCTTATGTATGGCGAGCTTAAAGGGGACAGTTTTCTCAACAAAACTAGAGTTTAAATTTGGTCATACATTAGAACATCCATTATTCCAGCACAATCCAGTTAGAATATTATATGCAGATTTCCTAATGCAAGAAAGTAACCTGGTATTATATCAAGCTGGGTTAAACATTTCCTCCTACTGATAGGAAGTGCCTTTCAGACAGCTTGCAGCTCACAGAATGAGAAGAAGAAAGGATCCACTGATCGCCAAACTGACTTAACTTTTATTCTTGTCCTGGAAGATTTAATTCATCAGATTAATTATGGTATGTGTTTACTTTAACTTTGTGTATGTGAAATTATGAGTGGATGGTTAAAATTTCCCATAAGTAAGGTAGATACAACTGAAGTTACTGGGATTATAGACTTCATATCGATATACTGTTCTTTGATAATAGTCTTCTGGGCTACTATTTTACTGAACTACTCAGATGATCTGCAAATGTAAATATGTGGGTTTTAAAATAGACTAAATTAGGTATACATGATGTATCAGAAAGTATAACAGTTTTAAGTTTGTTCAATTTTTTCAGTGTAATGACCATTAATTTACTGCTGTTACTGTTTATTAAATAGAACAGACGTATACCATATTTATGGTTTAGGTGATTTGTTAAGATACTGTAAATCAGTGTTTCTCAGCCTTTTTCAGCCAATGCACCCTTTAAAATTCTGCACACTCTCAAGCTACCCCATTCTATAATGTGAAAAATGAATCTAATAGTTTTACATAATGCAGCAGCACCAGGGGCGGACTGACCATTTGGAAACTCGGGCACTGCCGAAGGTCCGGGGTCAGTAGGGGGCCCCATGAGATGCCCCTGGTATCCTTTTTCATAGGCTTTTTTGAGTTTGGGCAAGGACACAGGGGCCCCATGATCCCCTATTGCCCGGGGGCCCCATGAGTTGTCAGTCCACCCCTGAGCAGCACCCACGCAGATAGGATGCTCAATATTTGAGGTGATTTATTCTTACAAAGCAAATACACCTAGAATTCCAGCATTTTTCTCCCTTTGTTTCTCTCTCACACTCAGCTAACATGATGCAAGTGCTGACAGAGAGGAGCATGGGAGGTACAAACAAGGATGTCTTTGGACACCCAATGTCCACCTCATTAACCTATGATTTCTCTGGGTGTTAGGATGCTGGCAGCTGGCCTGCACTGTGTCCAAGGCTGTAATGTCAAACAATAAAGCCTGTGGCTTTGTGTAACAAAAAATGCAAGCTTTATCCATCTGCTGGCTTGTTGGGCAGTTTTTTTTTTTTTTCCAAGGCACCCCTGAAAAAACCCAGACAGAAAAGGGCTGAAATAATGCAACACAATAAATTCATGTTGCCTCTTGACAGGTATTGCCTTGCCTGGAATGTGGCAATTCTCCTGTTGAATGGAGATTCTTTATCTGTGGCCTTGTACTCTTTCCCACAAAAATATTTGGATCATTTATGGTAATTTAGGCTTTTTTCCAAGGCACCCCTGAAGAACCCAGAAGGCACCCCAGTTTAAAAATGCTGCTGTAGATACATACTAGAAGCCCCAAACATAATATTTTGTTCTTATTTCTGGTGGTTATGCACCATGTACACCACTGTAATAGTTGGTAGTTTCCAATTTTTGTAAGCTGCAATTTCTGTAAATGCAAACCACATTGCTTAGGTTTAAAAGTAGTTTTACAAACTCAAGCAAGACATCATTGTAATGTGTATTAACTGTGGTCTAGTAGGCCAATGACTTATGAAATTTTGACAAACAAAAACAGGCAAGAAAATGGGATTTTTAACAGTGCATATATTCTCAGGAATAAATTTACAACCACAAATATAGAATAAAAATGACATTGTATTGCGTACAAAAAGATAAAATCATTTTAAAATCAGCAATGAAACCTATGCCTAATGATATTCCATAAAGGGCATTAGTTCCACCCTATTATTATTCTCCCTAACAGCCCAGAACCAACTGTAGAATCGTAATGTACTTATGCAAAAAATAAAGAAGTTGACCCAAAATAATACAGGCAGTTCCCGTGTTGCAAACACGATAGGTTCTCTAGGTTTGTTCTTAAGTTGAATTTGTATGTAAGTTGGAACAGGTACATTTTTAAGTGTCCAAAAAATAATTTGTAAGTTTTTTGGATAGTACAGGGAAGGGTTAACACCCCTGTAATGTTTGTTTTGCTGCCTGTGCCCCTGTACAGAAGATTTCACCTCACTTTCTGTCTCTCTGACAATTGGATTTTGAAAATTTTTGGTTCTCGTGGAAACAAGGATTGGTGATCAAACTTCAGTGGAGACACCTTTTTCCCATGACAACTCTTACAGGATTGAATTTTCTTTCCTAGAGGTAGATTTCCTCTCACTTCCTGTTATCTCTCTCAGTTTGTAAGTTGGATGTATGTAACTCAGGGACTGCCTGTAGTCTTCAGTATATTGAGACTTTGTGTCTGTGGCATGTATGAACTGGTCAAAAAAATTTCATGATTGGTCACTTCTTCGGGAGATCTTCAGATAATAAGTAAATGGCAAACCCAATCAACACTATTAACAGATGCTACATGCCGTCTAAAAGAGGGAAACATGATGTTCCCAAGGCTGCATACCAGTGTAAGAAAAGAGGAGGATGTAGTAGGCTAAAGCAGACCCAAAGCAAGGAACAACCTCTATAGAGATGGTGGAACCACATTAACCACTTGCCTACCGGGCACTTATTCCCCCCTTCTTTACCAGGCCAATTTTCCAGCTTTCAGCGCTGTCGCACTTTGATTGACAATTGCGCGGTTATGCAAGATTGTACCCATATGAAATTTTTATCATTTTTTTTCTCACAAATAGAGCTTTCTTTTGGTGGTAATTACTCATCGCTGGGTTTTTTACATTTTGCGCTATGAAAAAAAATTGCAAAAAATTTGGAAAAGAAACAAAAAAAGTTTCTTTGTTTCTATTATAAAAATTTTACAAGTAGGTAATTTTTCTCCTTCACTGATGTGCGTTGATGAGGCAGCACTGATGGACCCTGATAGGCAACACTGATAGGGCACTGAAAGGCGGCACTGATAGGCAGCACTAATGAGGTGGCATGGATAGGCGGCACTGATAGGTGGCACTGAGGATGGGTACTGATAGACAGCACTGATAGGTGGCACTGATAGGGGGCACTGATGATGGGTACTGATAGACAGCACTGATAGGTGGCACTGACTGGCATCACTGCTGGGCACTGACTGGCGGCACTGCTAGGTATAGACTGGCGGCACTGTTAGGCATTGACTGGCACAACTGCTGGGCACTGACTGGCACAACCACTGGGCACTGACTAGTGGCACTGACTGGCAGCACTGCTGGGCTGCACTGATGGGCACTGGTGGGCACAGGTGGGTGGAACTGGTGGGCACAGGTGGGTGGGCACATGTGGGTGTCACTGCTGGGCACAGATAGGTGGCACTTCTGGATGGCACTTCTGGGCACAGGTGTGGCACTGCTGGCACTGCTGGACACAGGTGGTTGCACTGCTGGGCACAGGTGGGTGCACTGCTGGGCACAAGTGGGCAGAACTGGTGGGTGGCACTGCTGGGCACCGATCATCAGGGCACTGATCATCAGTGCCCTGATGATCGTGCTGATCCCTGCTCTGACAACTGCCGGTTCTTGGGCAGTACTTTCCTCACTATCTGACAGCGTGAGGAAAGTGCAGCCGAGAACCGGCAATTGCATTTCCCTGTGATCAGCGTGTCATTGGACACGGCTGATCACGTGGTAAAAGGCCGCTGTGATTGGCCTTTTACCACATCACGTGATCAGCTGTGTCCGTAGGACACAACGATCACGGCGATCGCCGGGTGCGCGTTCTGGGAGGACGTCATATGATGCCCTCCCAGAACTGGCCGGTCACAGTTGTGTAGCCGTCATTCAGCTATCTGCGGTCGGCAACTGGTTAAATAATAGATTTACCAAGTAACAGTGCCCTAGAGAACTAATGATAGGACCAGGCTCCATAAGTACCAGACCTTATGCTGATCCACCAAAGAGAGCAACATGCATCACTGTGTGCCCAAAAGACATGCCGATTTGATTGCTGATTTTAGAATGATTGTACCTTTAAAAGATTTTAAAAATCTGCCCTTTTTTGTTTGTTGGTATTATCTTGCTTTGGATCTGACTAACAAATACAAATACAATACCTAGGTGTCTCCATTAACCACTTCACCTCCGGTAGGTTTTACCCCGTATGAAGAGGGCATGTTTTGCTAATCAGCACTGTGTTATTTTAACTGCCAATTGCTCAGTCATGCAAAACTGTAAGCAAATTAAATTTTTAGATTTTTTTCACACAAATAGAGCTTTCTTTTGGTAGTATTTAATCACCAGTGGGTTTTTTTTTTATTTTTTGCTATATAAAATACTGAACATTTTGAAAATAAACACATTTTTCTGATTTTCTGTTTTAAAATTTTGCAAATAAATACTCTTCATAAATACTTAAAAAAACACATTTCCTTGGTAAAAGTAACCCAAATTGGTGTATATATTTTTTGTGTGAAAGTTATAAAGTCTACAAACTATGGCATATCTATATCTGAAAATGTATCAGTCCTGATGTACTGATGGCTTATCTCATTTCTTTCTTAAAGTGGTTCTAACGGCTGAAGGTATGTTTTACCTTCATGCATGCTATGAGTAGTATATAATAATTATAAAACAATAATATATGGATGTGATCAATGTTAAAAGCAATAGTTAACTGTCATGAATGGCTTTCCAATTATGACAGCTTGCTTTTTGTTGACATTCTGTGTTTGGCTACAGCTAATCACATGGTACAGGGTGTCAGATACCATGTGATAGCTGTGGGCCAATCACAGCTTCACAGCAGTGAATGAAAACCATTCATGACTGTTTTGTTTACATTGTAATCATGTGATCACAATAAATGGTCATAGCGATCACATGATATGAGTGGCCGGGTACTCAGCGCTGTGATCTGCTGTTTCCAGTGAACAGGTCATAGTCACAGGATTGTATGCCGCTGTGCCTGGCTGTGCTGCCTGCTTGCAGTCAAAGTACTGTGGGCAGGCAGCAAGTGGTTAATTTACATTATCGTTTATATCAGTTTGGTTAACTTGGTTAACTCATGCAGTGCAGATGTATTTTAAATGTGTTATTTAGGATACTTATTTTCACATTCATTGTAACTGGTTGAGAGATCTCAGCTTGTGGTCCCATGAGGCATAAGGATATCTCCCCTGGCAGTCCATCTCCCATAGCAAAGGGAGCAGATCAGTGCTCAGAGGTTCCCAGCCTGTACACTGTGTACGGCAGGGGAAGAGTTAAGTAACTGAATGCATGGAGTCCGTGCTAGGTCCACACTGGAGTTCCATTCTGCTACTGAGAGTGAGGTAATTGAGATACGCTGGACTGGTGGAGTGGACATAAGCTCAGCGTGTCACTCTTAAATGCAACAAGTTACAGTGAAGTTGTACATTGACACGGGAATGTGAGAATTAACTGGAGAACAGTTTAGAGGTATGAGTGTACCTGGTGTACAATACACAGTAAAGGTACCCCATGTGTGAGGCAGTGACCCTGCTGAAGGTGCCTAGCTTAGCCTAAAGGAACCTACCTGAGGTAGGCCCCCGTATGACCCAAACTTGGTGCCCAATGGGGAGGGAACATGGAGGAAGTGTCACCTGCCTGCCCTATACACCCATGTACAATTGGACTGATTTTCAGAGGTAGTTTGCTTGCACTGTGGGAGTCAAAACTAGAGAGTGGAGAACCACATAAACATGGGGAGAACATGTAAGCCCCATGCAGGATAGTACACTAGGTATGATTATGGAGGTGTGACATGATTGGCATGGTCAATTTATGTACTTTTTGTGAAAAAAGTGGTGTTTTTCTTCTGTATATTAAAGTCTGTAAGTAAACATTTTTGTGAAGCTCCAGAGCCAGCCAATTTAAGATCAGTTGAGCTCAGGGCATAGGATAAATCTGGCCATACACTCTATTATCTGATTGTACAATCTCTCCTTTAGATTACCAAAACCTATGTAATTTGAGGAAAAACCTAGGCAAACTAATCAATTTGTATCAAATCAGGTAGGCCTTTGCACTACATAGTTGATTGCAGATCTAAAGGAGATTGTACAATCAGATTGGATATTGTACAAGCAGCTGTACATGATGATATGGCATTCAGGATGGGAATTTGTTCAGCATGGGTCCTTGAAAACTCATCTATCCTCAAATTATTGGAGCAAGTTGTCAGCTAGCCCAACAGGCACTGTACTCCTATTTCAGTGCTGCTCACACAAGCATGTGTCTGGACTGGTCCCAGGGAAGAAAGCACTTAAAACTATGGAGCCCAGAGCGAGAAACATGCACTGACAGCACCATTCTTAGCAATGCCTGCAGCTGAATCTCACCTTGCAGAACCACAGTATTCCCATTGCACCTGTTCAATTATACCTGTTCAGGGCTGGGTCAAGGCAGAGGCAGAAGAGGCACCCCCTTTGGATGCTGTGCTGCGGAGAATGCAGCTGGGGCAGACACCTCCCCTGCCTTTGCATCTACTAGCTGTGTCCTACACAGTGCAGGACCGACCTGCCAGATAACATTGATCAGTGCTGCAGGGGTGTTGGAAAGGGAGGGCCATTTTTATTAGGTTTTAGCAGAAAAAGCAGCATGTGTTTAGTTACAAAAAGTTTTGAAACTGAAAATTTAAATAGCACATTTTATAAAGTACAGATGGTTAGTAAATAAGGCAATGCAAATAAAAAAACATGTCTTGTGGTTATTAAATGCATCCAGAAATTCAGTAGTCAAAAAATTGTTATATCTTAAGATCCAGTATTCCCAGGTTTAGTTGGAGAAGAGGGAAATGGCTAGGAATAAAGAACAAAAGTGGAAGTTTAGGGAGGGGGAAGGGAGAGGAGGGTGGAAGAGGATGGATTTGGTTTTATCCTTGTTAAGCTTTCAATTCCCAAGCTAGGAAGTATTTAAAGTATGTTTGGAAAAAAAATAGGTACTGGGAAGACACACAGAAATGTAGTTTGGAGGTGCAAATAAAAAGATAGGAAGGCGATGAAAGAAAGGGAAAATACAGTCAGGGGGAAAAGATTAGTAGGTGAGTTATGAAAAGAAGTACGGCTATGGAGAGGCATGGCTCCCAATTTCCGAAAAGGGTTCCTTACAGAGTAATCAGGCTCCTGGTGTATTTGTGAGGATAGTAGTCAGTTTTTCATTCACAAAAAAGGTTTCAACTTCAGAAACTAATGTGAATTGTGTTTTTCATGCCCAAGCTATTGTCAATTTAGAGGCTAAGAAGTGGCTAAGTTAAAAAGGATTTTTATGAGGTTTGAAGGTTTAAAGTGTGATAGAGCTAACCATGGGTCTCTAGGGATCTGCTTGTTGATTAGTTTGTTCAAAGGTATAAAGACCCTCGTCCAGAAATAACTAAGCAGTGGAAGGTCCACCAAGTGTTTAGGATGTGTCTGACAGTCTGACAACCACTGAAGCAACGCCCTCAGAGTTCTAGATATGTGTGTGAGTCTAGAGTGTACTAAGTACCATTAGTTAATACCTTAAAGGCAGACTTAACAGTAGTAACATGGATGGTACAGATAGCGCTTGTAGACCAGGTCTATAACCAGTCCTTCTGTCTTGCTGGCCTTTAAGTCTTCCTCCCATTTGTGTGGTTGGTAAAGGTACATGGTTAAGATGAGAGTAAACTATAGAAATAAGTTTGGGTGATAAGGGTGTGTAGTTGGAGATGTTCTCAAAAGTGGTCCGTTTTCTGGAAAGGTCATTTTCATGAATGAGTAATGTGACCCAAAGTCTGAGTTGTATGTACGAAAAAAATTCAGATAGAGAAGCTTAAGATTCATCTCTGATAGAGGGCCATGTGAAAATTGAACACTTCTCAAGAAGGGAGCAGGCTCCAGTAAAGCCATGTCATCCATCAATTAAAAGTGGTTGGGGATTCAAGTCCTATGGTAAAAGTGTGTTACTCGTTATTCATCAGTAGGGAAGGATACAGTGATATTAACTTGCTGGAGTACTTAGAACTGTGCCAGATTTTTAGGGTATCTCTCATCAGGGAGCACACGGTATTTTTTTCTACAGCCAGTAAACCCCGGCATGTTATCCTATGTGTCCATGCACACATAGGCTGTAATCAGCGTTTTTTGGCTGAAAAAAAACCCTTCAGAATTAGTAGGTTTCTAGAGTAGTTTTTTTAGCTGTAAAAACACTCTAACGCTGAAAAATGCAGCAAAACATGGCAAAGCAGTGTTTTTGGACTTTTTTTAGCAATTTTTTTTCTTTTTTAAATGCTAAAAAACAAAAACGTGGCTAAATGCTAATGCAAAAACACAAAAAAAAAATGCTGAAAACATTGGGTTTTTAACATGACTCTACACGGCTAATGCTACCAGCATTATTAACCACTTGCCGCCCAGCCACTTTAATACATATTTTATTTAGAACCACTTTAAGGAAATACTGTACATATTTTATTTTATTGCTTACTTGTAAGACTGCTTTTAATCACTTTACAGATACTTTAAATAGATACTAAAAAACAGTTCCTCATTAGTTTGGCAGTATACAATGTTGCACACATTATTATATTGTTTATTTGCATTGTAATTGTTATTTAAAAGATTGATACTATAAAATTATATTTTGCTAAATATTCTAATTCTGCATTTCAT